ATGAGTGCATGAGTGCAGTATGGGGTGCCGCAAACACGTTTGTAGTGCCATATACCGCATAGTCAGCTGTTCTCTGCACTGCAAGGCAGCCCATGCATGCGCTGCTCCGTTTTTTTTCTGTGGGGTTTTTTGACCCCTGGATAGCCAGGGGCCGAAAAAATAAAACACAGGGAAAAAAAATGTAGCAGCACACACACAGGCAGTGTGTGCAGCAAAAAAGCAGCACCAGGCTGCCCAGAGCTGCACTATGGCTGCCAGTCAGGATCCATGCAGCAGGATTGCTGCAATTACAGCCTCAGGAGGCCACTGGGTATGGCTGCTGCAGCCAGCCCAGTGCTGGCCCCCAACTCCCTACTGCCCCCAGGGTAACTTGCTGCCTGCCAAAGCATGTGTGGCACAGGTGTTCCCCGTGGACAAGTAGCTGTGGAGCAAGGTGTGCTGCTGCTACTTGTTCCTGGGGAACCAAACGGTGAGGGTGCCTTAACTAAAGCTCACTGAACAAGCCCCCCCACCCCTGAGCACTAAGTTTTGGTTCCTTTCATTTTTTAGGGACAGCTCAATTTTTACAGACCTCATGGACAAGCATTTTAAGTCTTTTTTGAATAGATGGTCTGTAACTTTATGGAGAGTGGCAACCCTGATATGTACACACATACAAACACTCCTTCCCAAAGGAAAGGCATGTTCCCAGGATGCAGCATTTATTCCCTGCTTGTGTAATGTACCTCATTCTTCAGGAGGCTAAGGGAAATCTCTTGTGAAAGAAACTTCTGCTGTAAAAATTGACGGAGCTGCTTGATAGAAGGAGCTCTCTGTTAAATGAGCTCTGTGCCTCCCCTACATCAAGCCTTCCTACTGTGGACTTACCTCTATTGCTTTCCCAATTCATCATCCGCACATTGGAGTGATTCATACTGCAAATTACTGAAGACGAGAGAGCATCTGGTAAAACACAAGATCTTTATTCAGAGATAATGAACCTACCATAACTAATTAGCCAAACATTTAAAAAAAGACTAGAAGCAGAAGAAAAAGGATGTCAGGCCGTTGCCATAGAATAGTGTGATGTCACAAATTTAGCATTCTAATTTTTTTTCAAAAGAAGTGCCAGTGATGGTTGTGGAGTCGGTGAACAGAAATGATAGGCTGAGGAAGACAGACCTTAAAAATTCCCAAATGTAATGAATTTTATGAAAAGAGAGAGGAAGGTAAGTGCACTGATGTGCTTGAATAATGTTCAGGACTTGATGAGGTTTAGCTATGGCATACCTTTGCCTCTAACAAGCTGTCTTAGTGTAATAGTTGCATTTGATAGGTGATTGATGCCGTTTATTAAAGGAACAAAGGCAAGTCAAGAACCCAGTATAGATTTGGTGGGAAAATATTTTTTTTTGAATCTATCAATATAAATATTTGCATGATTTCTTCATTAAATTGAAATTCATCCAATTCATTGAATTGGAAGTCATAACTTATTTAAGCCACTGAAGTGATAATGTGAAGTTATCCTTTTTAACCTGAAGAGGATAAACATAATCTTCATTGCTGACTGAGTGAAGTTTTCATAACAGAACAACAAAATGATGGGCTTGATGAATACTGTTTTTGATATCAACAGGATGGGCTTGATTTCACTAACAGACTAGAAAGCCCCCTGTGCCTAGTCACATTAGCCTGAGAAAAGGAGAGATATTGTAGTGGCAAGGTCAGACTTGGCCATCAGACAGTTTGTTCATTTACTGGCATAAGGCAGGGCAGGGTGGCAAAGCCATAAATAGAATTCAAGTCTTTTCAGACCCCATCCAGTGTCTCCCTTTGAACATTTTGCACCCTGCCTAGCATATTAAGTTTCAGAGCAATCCAAGAAGCCAACCAGAATAGCTGAGTATAAGTCAAGGGTGGCCAACCTATGTCACACATGCCACAAATGGCACAGGCAGCCTCTACATGTGGCGCACAGAGGAGTGTAGAGGAAACTGGCAGCAGAGTGGGGCAGGAAGCAAAAAGCAGAGCAGCAGATCAGGCAGGGGAAGGAGACTGAAGTGGCACTCAGAGGTGTGGGACTAATTTGTGGCATGCCTGTCAAAGGTTAGCCCCCACTAGTATAAGAACTAAACTTTGCGCATTTTGTATATTTGGTAAATATTATTGTGTAGATCTCACTGTGCTTAGGTGGTTCCTTCACATTTGTTGTAAAAAGGCAAAATATCCCATCCACCGAGCTACTGACAACCAGACCATGTTGACCTCTGGACACATCATTGTTGTGTTATAGGCACACAGGAATTGGATTTTTTCTACTGCAGCTAATGTTAAAGTAATTAACTTGAGCAAGTAATAAGACTCTAATCCTCTTGATAAAGTCAGTGCCCAAAGCCACAGCATAATGCTAATTAGCTGTCAACACTATTACTTGAAATGTTAAAGAGAACAACAGGGTCCAAGAAGAGAAACCAGGCCAATTTTTTCCATTGTCAAATTAATTCCTCTTTCTGTTCCAAAAGCAAATAAAAACAATTAAATATCAGCACCTTAGCAGCCCAGCTAATAAACCACTGCATACATGCTGACAGGATATTTTAGTAAGAAAACTGATTTCAGTTTGCCAGCATTTTTCCCTGAGCATCTGCCTTTTTCTTTTGAGTTAATAATCGTAAGTGTAAGGGTGATGCTGTAGCCGTGATGGTCCAGAAGTGAGGAGAGGCAAGGATTCAGATGGATAAAAATCATCAATATTTTTTTTAATAAAAAAAAAGATTTTTTAAAATTTAAATTGGATTTTTTTATTGACTTGTATTTTTTAAGATTTTATTTTTATTTAAAAAATAAACCTATATATAGTTTTAAAAGTTCAAAGATATCATCATGGAATAGGAATTATAACTTCTAATTATATACTATTTGAGACAATATATGCATGTAACCTTGTTAGAAAAGTTTTATACATAGGTCACCACAGGCCATGGACTATATTAGAGGCCCAATCTTATGGGGTTCCCAGAGGCTCCTCTATAGTTTAGTAAAGCTTAAAGAAAACCACTCTACCCCATGGGACTCAGTGCTCAGTCCAGAAGATCCCATGAAGCATCTCTGTGATGCTTAGTTTCAATTCTCAAACTGTGGACTTGTGTCTCCAGAGATCATAGGCAGACAAGGTCTTTTGGGTAGATGTGATATCTTTTATTAGACCAACTAAAAAGTTAGAAAAATTGTTCTTTGCAAGCTGTCCAGGACAAACACCCTTCTTCAGGCCTAGGGGGAGTTTACAGGTATCGCATCCTTGTTAACAGCAGTATATGGAGATGAGATGTAACAAGCCTGAGTGATTACCTACCCATCACCCTCGTCTCTGCAAGTGTGTGTACAGTCACGCCCTTAGCCTTCTCTAAAAGTGCAAAATTTCAAAAGATTAAATGAATATCAAACAACAAGAAAGCACTTTTGATAGAAAACAATGAAAAAAGTGAGGCTTCCTGACCAGTGATCTAAACCATGATTTAAACTGATTGGATTTAAATCAAATCCACCCTGCAAGGATTTCTTTAGGTGATTCCTTAAAGATACCTGAATGTTGGGCCTGATGTGCTCTCGTTTTCACTCACAGCGGAGAAAGTCCCCCTGTGCCTAGTCACATTAGCCTGGGAAAAGGAGAAATATTATAGCGGCAAGGTCAAACATGGCCATCGGACAAACTTGTTCATTTACTGGCAGAAAGCAGGGCAGGGTGGCACTTGAGAGAGGGTTCAGAGGCTTTGTAGGAGGTGCCAGGTTAAAGATATCTAAGTGACAAAATCCTTGCCTTTACTATTCAATAATAAGAACAGTACTTTTAATTTAATATATAGGGTTTCAGGCAAAGCTCCCCACGGTCAGTGGACGACCTCATGCCTCTCTGAACCTGTTTGTGTCGAAGGTGCCACCCTGCTCCGCCTTGCACCAATAAACGGTGGCCAAATCTCTGCTGGCCAAGGCTGCCCTTGCCACTACAAACTCTCCCTTTTCCCAGGTAATGCCAAACTGGGCACGGGGGGCGTGAATGAAATCAAGCGCACCCTTTCGATGCCCCGGCCTCTCACTTGACTAGGCACAGAGGGGTGGGTTTCAACCCCATTCCTGCCTTGTGCCATCTCCAAGGCATCGCCCCAAGACGTCCTGGCCTCTCCGCCTTGCGGCCAGTCCTGACCACAGCCTCTGGCCAGGCTCCCACCAAAGACCGGGCCCACCAGGACAGACGTTCAAAGCGGACCGATGCGAGGAGGCGGGAATCACCTGCTGTCAGGCCATGAATGCCTCTAGGGCGGGAAGGCAAAAAAATGCACATAACTCTTACATGTCCCCCCCCCCCCCCCGCCGCCGGGACATCTGCATGATGATTAATACAGTAACCATCGTATTACTGTTAATGAGCGCCCTCTCCTCGGACTCTCAGCGCCCTCCTGCAGACTGAGCTCTCGCCGCGGGCCGCCCCCCTCCCCTCGGCGAGCTCCGGGCGGGCCGGCGCGATGCGGGGCGGGCCGGGG